GACACCGTGTATAGACTACCAAGAAAGAAACCCCCTATCCCCAACAATTCCTAGATTCTATTTTAACCAAACAGTTTGCTCCCTTTCCCTGATCAGCTAGTTTACAGGAATTGCTAACATGGGGCAAGATTATGTTTGTCCTCTTTTCATTCTTTCTTTCTACCATTTGGCATCAGCTGAGCAGTAACATCACCAAAAGTCTGGAAATCCTTTAAAAAGAGGGGAGGCACTAGGCCAGTGAATCCATGAATTGGATAATCGGCTCCTGAATAATTAGGACCAGACTGTACAGTAAACAACACGCCCCTCCCCGGGAGCCAACAGCAGGCCCAGCCGTAAACTGTCCCTGCTGGAGATGCAAGGGTTTTCCTTCTGCCGGCAACGCCCCCAATCCTGCCCTGCATGCAAGACCACAAACGCTTCCCCTTCAGCACAGACATATCTTTCCTCACGTGGAGCGAATTTTCTGGACTTGAATGCGAATGCGACACGCTGACCTGGAATTTGCATAAGCTCCGCTTCATGTCTCTAAGTTTGCTCCAGTGAACAGATTTTATATCTGCTGGCAAAGGCAGACAGTGGCACTCGGAGACGGGCATTTGAAACCACATTTTTTGGCTCATTAAAGCCATTCTGCCGATGTTGCTCCTCATGTCATTCAACCTATTTTCAAGCCGTTTCCTCAATGGTGCACTTCAGGGAGGTTGGGCACGGATTTTGCTAGGAACTGGATTGTGTCCATAAGTCTCGTCAGTTTATTCTCGGGCTCTGGCAACCTTTGAATAGCTCTTCCACCTTTGGGGGTTCCCACACAAAGCCTGCTCTGCGCAGTTTGCCCATGAACCAAGATATTTATTTCATCTTGTTTCTGAAGTCATGGGTGTCTTGACGTTGGATCTGTTTCCCCCTCGCAGCAAATAGCCACCACAAATATGTACAAACTCAGAAATCACGTTGGATGTCTTCCCTTTTGAGGCTGGTCAGAGAAAGGCTAGAGGCACAGAGTGCTTGAAAGCACCAAGAAAACATGCCTGACTCAGAGCTTTCCTCATTAATTAGGGTGCTTACAGAATTTGTTCACTCCAAGTCTGAAAAGAAAACAGCTTACTTCATTGGTAGACTGAAAAACTGGCCGACTTTCTCTTCTTTATTTATTTATTTGTTTGTTTATTTTATTTATTTTGAGACAGAGTCTTGCTCTGTAGTCCAGGCTGGAGTGCAGTAGTGCCATCTCGGCTCACTGCAGCCTCCACCTCCCGGGTTCAAGGGATTCTCCTGCCTCAGCCTCCCAAGTACGTGGGATTACAGGCACGCGCCACCACGCCCAGCTAACCTTTTGTATTTGTAGCAGGGATGGGGTTTCACCATATTGGTCAGGCTGATCTTAAACTCCTGACCTCGTGACCCACCTGCCTCGGCCTCCCAAAGTGCTGGGATTACAGGCTTGAGCCACCGCCCCGGGCCCTGACTTTCTCTTCTTTTCCATCTCACTCTGCAGTGGGCAGTGGAGGGAGCTGGGTGGTTTGTCCAGGTCACAGCTGCAGTTCTGTCTGTACGTGATTCCCCATCTTCTTTGTTGACCTCTTCCATCCTTATCTCTGGCAGAGGCCCTGAAAGGCATTAACCCTGGCTGAAAAGATTCCTTGTCTAAAGCTCTGCCGCTTCTCATCCTTTCCTGCCATCCTAACACTCCATCTGGAAACAGTGCTGTGACCTACCCAAGCACACTCCTGATTGATCCCCAGTGCCTAAGAGCTGTATTGCTCTATGGAAATACACACTGGGTAGTATGTTTCTCTCGATGTGCATTGGGGGCTGAATGTTAAGCATTAACTACCTGGTTAAAGGAGCCGAAGCACCTAATTCAAACTTCGGTGAGGGCTGATAACAGAAATTCAGTTCCTTAGACAGCTGAGATACAAATCTAGGCCTTTCCCAGGGCAATTAGGCAAGAATGAAATAAAAAGGAATCTATATTCGAAAGGAAAAAGTTAAACTATCTCTACTTTCAGATGACATAATCTTGGATATTAAAAACCCCTAAGGTGGCCACGTGAGGTGGGTCACTCCTATAATCGCAGCACCAAGGCTGGTGGATCACTTGAGCTCAGGAGTTCAAGACCAGCCTGGGCAACATAACAAGACCCCATCTCATTTTAAAAAGAAAAAATTAACAAGAAAAAATAAAACCTAAGGAATTCATTTAAAAACTGCTCAAATGAATAATTTTTTTAGCAAGGTTTTAGGATAAAAGATCAACATGCAGGCTCAGTGCTCATGCCTGTAATCCCAGGACTTTGGGAGGCTGAGGCAGGTGAATCACCTGCAGTCAGGAGTTCGAAACACCCTGGCCAACATGATAAAACCCCATCTGTACTAAAAATACAAAAAATTAGCTGGGTGTGGTGGTGGGTACCTGTAATCCCAGCTACTCAGGAGGCTGAGGCAGGAGAATTGCTTGAACCCAGGAGGCGGAGGTTGCTGTGAGCCGAGATTGTGCCTCTGCACGCCAACCTGGATGACAGAGCAAGACTCTGAATCAAAAAAAAAAAAAAAAAAAAAAAAAAAAAAAAAATGTTGTTAAAATGGCAATACACCCTCGAGCTGATCAATAGATTCAATGCAATTCTTATCAAAATCCCAGCTGATTTCTTTGCAGAAATTGACAAGTTAATTGTAAAATTTATATCAAAATTCAAGAAATGCAGAAAAAACAAAATAATCTTGAACAAAGAACAAATTGGAGGAGTCACACTTCCCAACTTCAACATGCGTACAAAGCCATAGTAATCAAAACAGTGTGGTACTGGCATAGGGTAGACATATAGATCAGTGTAGTAGAATTGAGAGTCCAGAAATAAACTTTCACATTTATAGTCAATTGACTTTCAATAAGGGTGTCAAGGCCATTCAGTGGAGAAAGAATAGTCTTTTCAACAAATGATGCTGGGACAACTAGATATACACATGTTAAAAAAAAAAAATTGAAGTTGGACCCCTGTCTCACACTGTATACAAATTCAGAATAGAGAAAAGACTGAAATGTAAGAGCTAATCCTATAAAACTCTTAGAAGATAACACAAGTGTAAATTTTCATGACCTTGGATTTCACAATGGTTTCTTGGATATGATACCAAAAGCATGAGCAATTAAAGAAAAACTAGATTAACTGCGCACAATTCAGCTAAAAACCTTTTGTCCTTCCAAAGACACCATCAAGGAAATGAAGAGACAAGTCTACAATGAATGAGAGAAAAAATGTGCAAATAATATTACACGTATTACATACAGCTCAACACCAAAAAACCAAATAACTAAAAAATGGGCAAAAATCTAAATAGACATTTCTCTAAGGAAGATAAATGCATGGCCAATAAGTGCACAAAAAGATGCTCAACATCATTAATCATCAGGGAATGCAAATCAAAACCATAATTAAATATCATCTCACACCCATTAGGATGGTTAACATTTTTACAAAACAGAAAATAACAAGTATTGACAAGGAAGTGGAAAAATTAGAACTCTCATGCACTGCTCATTGGAATATAGAATTGTGCAGCTCCATGGAATACTATATAGCCATAAAAAAGAATGAGATCATGTCTTTTGCAGCAACATGGATGCAGCCAGAGGTTATTATTCTAAGTGAATTAAACACAGAAACAGAAAACCAAATACTACATGTTCTCACTTATAAGTGAGAGCTAAACATTGGATACACATAGACATAAAGATGGGAACAATAGGAACTGGGGACTCCAAAGTGGTGAATAAGGATGGGAAGCAAGGGTTGAAAAAGCTACCTGTTAGTATGTTCAGTATTAAGGTGATGGGTTCAGTAGAAACCCAAATCAGCATCATGCAATATATACATGTAACAAACCTGCACATGTACTCCTTGAATCTAAAATTAAAAAAAAAAAAATTAGAGGCTGAGGCGGGAGAGTGGCGTGAACCCGGGAGGCGGAGCTTGCAGTGAGCTGAGATCCGGCCACTGGGCGACAGAGCGAGACTCCGTCTCAAAAAAAAAAAAAAAAAAAAAAAAAAAAAAATTAATAAAATAAAGTGGTGCAGCTGCCTTGGAAAGCAGTCTGGCTGTTACACAAAAGGTTAAACACAAAGTTACTGTATGAGCCAGCAACTCTACTCTTAGGTATATACCCAAAAGAAATGAAAACATATGTTCACACATAAACTTGTCCACTGGTGTTCACAGAATATTGTTCGTAAGAGCTAAAAAGTAGAAATGGCCCAAATGTCCATCAATGGACAAATGAATAAACACAATATGGTATTTCCATATAACTGTATACTTTTTGGAAGTAAAAAGAAATGAAGTACTGACACATACTATGGTGTGGATGAACTTTGAAAAGATTATGCTAAGTGAAGGAAACCAGTCACTAAAGACAACATATTGTATTATTCCATTTGTAAGAAATGTCCCAAATAGGCAAATCTATAGAAACAGAGAGTAGATCATAGGTTGCCTAAGGCTGGAAGGAATCAGGGGAGGCTTTGAGAGGTGATAGCTAAGAAATAAGGAGTGTGGCAGGTTTCTTTTTGGGGTTATAAAAATGTTTTAAAATTGGTTGTGATGATGGCTGCACAACTCTATGAACATATTAAAAACCACTGACTTGTACATTCTACATTGGTGAATTGTATGGTATGTGAATTATGTCTCAATAAAGCCATTGGGAGACAAAATAAATAAATAAAATCCAGAGACATTGTCCTATGGATAAATACTAAATAGAGTCATTAGGCTGGGCTCTAGATTTGTCTATTCAATGCTTTTGTGGTGTTTTTCTTTATCTTCCAGCTCCGGAAAAGGCCTGTAGTTCCAGCTACTGGGGAGGCTGATGGAAGGATAGCTTGAGCCCAGGAGGTCAAAGTTGCAGCGAGCTGTGATCGCATCACTGTGCTCCAACCTGGGTGACAGAGTGAGACCCCGTCTCAAAAAAAAAGAAAAGAAAAGAAAAGAAAAAAAAAAGTGCTTGCTTCAGCAGCACATATACTAAAATTGGAATGATACAGAGAAGATTAGCATGGCCCCTGAGCAAGAATGACATAAAAATTCTGGGGGGGGAAAAAAAAAAAAAAAGCCTGAGCAAAGTGACTTGCCCAGGATGCCACAGTTCACAGTGGTAGAACCACAACTGGAAACCAGGGCTTTGACTCCCAGGCATCTGCCTCTTCCATGAGTTCCATGTCCCATGTGTGTGCTATGTTTGTACTGGGGTCAGTGGCAACCGTGTTATTTGGATATTCTTATTTTCCTCTATGCCCTGAGAAACCTGGTTTGTAGACAGAGAAGGCTGATTTTTTGCTTCTAAAAGCTTAAGTTGACAATTTGTGTTGTTTTGTTTTGTTCTCCTGGCCCAACCTAACAAGCATTCACATAGTAGACAACACATGCTTGCTGGACCTTACTTCCTGTCTGGTGACCCAGCTCCCCAGAGACTTGAATCTCAAATAAATGTTTCTGTCAGGAGGCTGAGCTCCCAGCTGTGCAAATTGGTCACAGATGTAATTGCATTTGCCCTCTGCCCTGGAAGAAAACATGCCTGTGGTTGGGGGTTTAGATGTCTCAGAATGAAAGACATTACTCCTGACTCTGGGTAATAGCCGTGACGCTCAAAATAAGCTGCCACAGAGACACACCATAGTGTTGCCAGATGTACAGGACTGTTGCTACCCAGAATCCAGACCTGCACAGCCAGTTACCAAACTGTGGCCATGTCATTGACCAATCAGGCGTAGTCAAGAACCTAGCTTTTCCACTGACTCCTCGTACTTTCAAACATAACTCCATCCCCTCTTCACCTCTCCCTAATGCCCACAGGATCTCAGAAAAGAGCTCCATTTCCAAGTTCCCTGAATGGCAGACAATGGCAGCCCTAGGACATCTACACTGCACAGGCTGCAATTGCTAGAATCTAATTAAAATAAACATTGTAACAAGCTGCTGAGTCCCACCCAGTGCCTCAGGGTCCTAACACAGGACTGATTTAACCAAACATTTCAGTAATGCCCAATAAGGAAATTCAACCTTAAAGACCTCAGCAGGAGGTGATGAGGCTGAGTTAGACCATTTCTTTGAGCACTTAAAGCCTGGAGAGGACAAGGCTGTTCAGGATAGGGTCAGGGCAAGTCTGTACTTTGCCAGCATGCAAAGCGGGAGAAAAATTGTCTGACATCCTGAAAATATGGCAAACAATCTTATATCATGATAATAATATCCCCAGCTAGCTTTGTAAAACTAGATTTGTAGGGTCTGGATGAATGAGCCTTTTTTTTCAGGAGCTGCTGGGCAGTAAACCTTCAGGAGAACGAAGACTGGTGGAATGAACTTAGAAGAAAGTTCATGAATATTCCTATTTCTGGAGGTTTTGCTTTCATTAGAGAACTGGCCAACAAGTATGTGGTCGAAACACTGGAACAGAATTGGACTTTCTCGTGCCACCTACTGTGAAGGGTCAAGACTAGGAGTGCAGGCCCTGGGGTCAGGCTGTCTGGTCTTGAATGCATCTTCTACCACCTATTAACTTTGTTACTTAGCCTTCTCGGGGCTTCGATTTCTTCATTCTTAAAAGGGGAGTAATACAATCCATGCTTCACAGAGTTGCTGGGAGACTATATAAAATAATCCATATAAAATGCTTCAAAGAAGGCCTGATATGTAGCAGAGAGAAAGAGAAAGAACGAGAGAGGGAGAGAACAAGAAAACTTGTTTTGGGTGCTTAAGCTTTCCAGAAAAAATAGAACCAGTAGAATATGTGGAATAGAACCAATATGGATGTGTAAGAGGAGAACTGGGAATTGGCTATGGGAATTGGATCACAGGATTATGGAGCCAGATAATTCCCATAATATGTGGTCTACAAGCTGGGGACCCAGGAAAGCTGATGGTCTGATTCAATCCTAGTCCAAAAGCCTGAGAACACCAGGAAGATTGCTGGTGTAGACCCTAGAGTTCAAAGATCTGAATCAGAAGCTCCAGTGTCCAAGGGCAGGAGAGGATGGAGGTCCTGGCTCAAGAACAAAGATGGAATTCACCCTTCCTCCTCCTTTATGTTTTATCCAGGTCTTCAAAGGATTGGATGGTGCTATCCACATTGGGGAGGGCAGAACTTCTTTATTCACTCCACTGATTCAAATGCTAATCTCTTCCAGAAACACCCTCACAGACACAGCCAGAAACAATGTTCTACCAGCTATCTGAGCATCCCTTACGCAGCCAAGCCATTACATAAAATTAACCACCACTTGCTTACTATGTTCCAGGCCCTTTGCTTTTCACCTTTATCTGCTTATTTTTATTTAATCCTCACAACAACACTCAGTGACAGATATACTTATTATCCTTATATTATGGAAGAGGGAACTAGATTTAGCAAGATTATATTAATTGAACAGCATCACACTGGCAATATATGTCAGAATTTAAGATTCAAACTGCCATCTTTATAACTCTAGAACCCTAATTCTACCATATACTGACTGTGCCCTCAGTCTCCAAAGTGGGGTACACCTTCCCCTGGTGGAAGAAATAAACAGGCCCTGATTATTTAGGGGCATCGGTTACCAGGTCCTCAATGTCTATGAGTCCCCTGAGAACATGCCTGAGGCCAAGGCTTCCCTTTTTACCAAGAAAAGCCTTCCTTCTCCCACATTCCAAATCCTATCAAAGTGCATTGTGCTGGGTATAAAAACTTCTCAATATGACCGAATGACAAGCTGAGAAGTTTTTATATGCAGCACAATGCACTTTGATACACACAATTTGAATAATTGAATATCTGGATAATAAACCTTTTGCAATTCAGACAATTTCCAATTTGCTTTTAACAAAAGTAGAGGAATACCTAATTGACTTGTCACCTGATCTATCACTTAAAGTAATTTTTGGTGAGAGTCCATCATGTGATTTTTAGCACATAATTCAGAGTTCAAGGAATGATTAACTTGTTATAACAAAATATGTCAAAATCACCACAAGATATCACCTGCTAAAATAACTATCATTGAAAAACCAAAAGATAACAATGATTGGCACAGTTGTGGAGAAATTGGAACCCTTGTGCACTGTTGGTCAGAATGCAAAATAGTGCAGCCCTATGAAAACCAGTGTGGTAGCTCCTCAAAAATGTAAAATCACAATTTTAATGTTTCTATAATAATTGGGTAATCCTGGGTATTTACCCAAAAGAATTAAAGTCAGGATCTTGAGGAGATATTAGCATTCCCATGTTCACCACATCATTATTCAACATGTGGAAATAACCTAAAGGTCCATCAACAGATAAATGGATAAAGAAAATGTGATACATGCATACAATGGGATATTACTTAGCATTTAAAAAGATGGAAATCCTGCAATACACAACCATCAGAATGAACTTTGAGGACAGGTTGCTAAGTGAAATAAGCCAGTTACAGGATAACAAATACTACGTGATTCTACTTATATGAAGTATCCAAAATTGTTGAATTCCTAGGGTCAAAGAGTGGAGTTGAGGTTTCCAAGGGCTGGGGGGAGAAGGAAATGGGGAGTTACTAAAAATGGACATAAAGTTTTAATTGAACTAGGTGAATAAGCTCTAAAGATTTGCTGTATAGCAATTATTGTCAACAATAATATTTCACACTTAAAAATTCTCCATTTTCAAGTGTCCAATTCAGTCATTTTTAGAATATTCATAAAGTTGTGAGAAGTCCATGAAGAGACTGAGGGAGATGAGTGAAGGATGTGGAGGGTAGAGTTTGAGGTAGGGATTGATGTAGGGATATCCATTTACAATGCCCTAAAGGATATAGAAATAAAGGATAGCGTGCCAGAGTAATAGACAAAGTCTATCAAGCTTCATTTGCTAAAAGGACACATCTCATGTTATACGTTCTTACTATAATAAAACAAAACATTTTAAAAAGTTTTTAAGTACATCAATTCTCATCTAATTATTAAAGAACTAGTTTTATCAGTGTTTACACTTAGTTATAAAAGTAAAATTAGAGAGTCCTGAGGTAGGAGAATTGCTTGAGCCCAGGTGTTTGAGGCCAGCCTGGGCAACATAGTAAAACCTCATCTCTATATAAAAAAAAGAAAATTAACCAGGTGTGGGGTGTTGGCCTCTAGTCCCAGCTATTCAGGAGGCTGGGTCAGGAAAATCTCTTGGGTCTAGGAGGTGGAAGTTGCAGTGAGTCAAAGTGGTACCACTGCACTTTAACCTGGGCAACAGTACAAGACTGCAAAAAAAAAAGAGTGAAATTAGGAGCTGGGTACTGTGACTTTCATCTGTAGTTCCAGCTACTTGGGAGGCTGAGGTGGGCAGATCACGTTAGGCCAGGAGTCTGAGGCTGACATGTGCTCACACCTGTGAATGGCCACTGAGGTCCAGCTTGGATAACACAGAAAGACCCCATCTTAAAAGAAGAAAAAGTAGGCCAAACATGGTGGTTCATGCCTATAATCCTAGCACTTTAGGAGGCCAAGGTGGATCACTTGAGGCCAGGAGTTTGAGACTAATCTGGACAATACAGCAAGAACCTGTCTCTACAGAAAATGTAAAAATCAGCTGGGCGTGGTGGTGCACGCCTTCTGTCCTAGCTACTTGAGAGGCTGAGACAAGAGGATTGCTTAAGCCCAGGAGTTCGAGGCTGCAGTGAACTAGGATTGTGCCACTACACTCCAGCCGAGATGACAGAGTGAGATCCCGTCTCTCTGTCTCTCTCACACACACACACACACGTAAAACTAGGAATACAATTTATATTTAACCATGTTTCAGAGCTCTAGCATCAAGTAGCATTCATTCACAAATATGTGAACTAATTGGAAAAACACACATCTCATGAATAGATGTACTTCCAATAAACTCTTACTTTTTATGTGTAGCTATTTTCAAAGTATACACAATATATAGGTTGTTTTGGATCAATTGTATAATAAAAATTACTCAATCTATATTTATTTTTAACACTATAACTTACAGTTACAGGGACTTTAAAATTAATTTTATGGGGGAAAACTGTAATAGAGTGATCAGTAAGAGATATAAAATGTATTATTATACTAAGATATAATTCTATAGGGAAGTA